CAATGCTTTACCGCTCGAGCACGTGTCGAAACTACAGCAATATGTTTTTCTACTTCGAGTCGCATTGGCTCGGCTGTTGGATATTCTTAAAGCTAATGGAACTCTCCCGCGATCCAAAGATGACACCGATAATAACGGGTATGGTACAGGCGATGGCCAGGGAAGTGACCCGAGGTCAAGAGGAGGAGACTCACAGTCACGTGGGCCCGGTGGCAGCAAACGAGAGTCGTCTTATGAGAACACTCTTAATGATGTACGCAGGCTACGCAGTACGCGACTGGATAGGCACCTGTCGTCTAGTGCTCGACAAGCCCGAAGCTCTCGAGTGATGGACACTGATGGAAAGGGCCCTCGCCCAGGCTCGTCTGGTGATGCTGGGCAGGGCCATGGTGCACAAGGCTCGACCGACATCATGTTTGGACAAAATGATGGTATCACTTTGGATGATATCTCGAGGATAGTTGCTGTCGAGCAGTCCCGAGATCTGCAGCAGAAAGCACCACAGCCTTTTCAAGATCGATCGCTAGATGCATCTTCTTCAAACCAGGGTCATCTGCGGACGCAGTCAGCCGAACGAGAGCGCACCGAAACGGTGCAAGAGCGAATTGGGCGAAGGTTTTTCTCTGAACTCTCTGGTCTCGAGTACTTTAACGTCCGCCATCTTGCTGTTCTCACCATGCAGCCCATGATTGAGCAAGAATTCTCACTGGAAGAACTACTGAGCTTCATTGAGTCGCGTAAACAGGCGACTTTCTGGAAGAATATCGGAAAAGCCTTCAAGAATGATAAGAGCAAGAACGTCAAGAAAAAAGGGGTGTTCGGTGTACCTCTCGAGATCATCATAGAAAGGGATGGTGCGGAATCGACAGACGGTGTTGGTCCGGGCACGCTCCGAATCCCAGCTGTCATTGATGACATTGTATCGTCGATGCGTAAGATGGATCTCTCGGTTGAGGGCGTGTTCCGAAAGAATGGCAACATCAAGAAGCAGCAAGGCCTGGTGGATACCATCAACGCTGAGGGTTGTGACGTTGTCAACTTTATGGAACAGCCCGTCGTTCAGCTTGCTGCGCTTCTCAAACGCTACTTGCGCGATCTACCAGATCCGCTGATGACTCACAAGCTATACAGGCTATGGATCAGTGCAGCCAAGATTTCGGACCCTGAGAAGAGAAAGCGGTGCCTGCACTTGACCTGCTGTCTCCTACCAAAGAGCCACCGAGACTGTCTTGAGATTCTGTTCAGTTTCCTGAAGTGGGCTGGAACATTCCACCAGCTGGATGAAGACCTTGGTTCTAAGATGGATACGAGAAATCTTGCCACCGTCATTGCGCCCAATATCCTAACAAACCCCAACAGGGCACCTGCTTTAGATAGCGAGGCTATGTATGTTATTGATGCCGTGGAAATGATGATCACACATATCGAGGAAATGTGCCAGGTAAGAATCGGCATTCTTTAGGGTTGTGACCATTATGTTGACCTTTTCTAGGTTCCTGATGAGATCCTTGGTCTCATGAACGACCCTTATATCTTTACCAACAGCGGAGACCTCACGACAAAGGACATTCTGAAGCGTTTCCAAGATCGACGGGGACAGATTTCTATTGCTGATGTAAATGAGGTCTACAACCGTCAGGATAACTCCACCCGACCACCAGCTCGGCGAGTAGAAACTGACCCAGCAGTTTGGCAGGGTGAAGCCACTGTTCGCACGATACAAGACCCTTCAATGCCTAACCCCAACAATGGGCATGGAACTCCCCCGGCGCGATTCCGAGGACGAAACGATCTGGGCAATGCTTCGCCTTATGGGGTCAACCAGTTCAACCAGTCGGACAGTCAGCTCGATAGCGCCGAGCACAGCAGGAGGCGAGAATGGCGTAACTCTGGTATGGGACGTCAAGGCAGCGGACTTGGTGTGTCCGGCAACTCATGATACTTGTCTTTTTACAATGATATTCTTGATTACAGCTGGGCCCGGAAACGCCCGGCGTCAAGCTTCGTTTCGTTATTCTACATGCAGTTCAGGAGGTATGATTTGGGAGTAGAGAGTTATTTGCATAGTCGACGGCGTTCCTCTTCGCTTCTTCCTCAGGCTTATATATGCTATATCAGAGCATATAACTGTCGAACAAACCGGAAACAAGCATTTTACCAATCACAAAACCCTTGGCATTCATCGTTTTCTACACCACACGACACGACAAACCTGGTAGTTTTCTTCTTTCTTCTGGGACGCTGAGATGATGATCTCGCTCCTATTACTATTCCCTTCTCGACTCTTAACTTCATGCCATGTTCTCTTCAAGCTCCCGCCACCTAAATGGCATGAGAGATACATGTCTGCGAATCCCATCTTCTCTGAGGTCTAGTGTTTGTTCTTCGAGCAGGGGAAGGTGGGGAGGTCTATAGCTTTTTTCTTACGAAACAAAAAGGGGCTCAAAGAAAGGGTGTTGTTACGTTGTTGTTTTTTTACTATATTCAGTTCTCTTTCTATCTTCTTTTATACCTGAGTTGGATGGAGTAAACCATGTTAGCGGGTTGATTCCCATTGGAGTGTTGAGTGCGGGCAAAGCAAGGCGAAGCGAGGCGAGATCAGGATGAAGGGGGTCATTGACTCCTCGTGCAAAAGAAAAGTGCATGCGTGTGTGCTGGGTCAGATGTGAGGATGCAAACTACCTTAGTTTATGTTGGCTTCATTCTGGGATCAGATGGGATCTTGGTCACGCATGTAAGTGACGGCAAGCGAGATAGGAACAATAGATCATGTTCCATTTGGATACTTACGACTGAATGACTGGACCTTGGTCTTACCTGCTTGGATACAACTACAATTATTTTGTTCAAATCATGGGATATGGTGCCGATATTTACAAGAGACTATATTCCAATTGAAGGTTCGGCTACTTGAATCATGTCACGCTCGGGTGTCTTGTTGTGCGAGCCAGATTAAAAATGTACTTGAAGCTGAATCATTTGTAGACTAAACGATATATAATTAAAGATATCACAGATTGAATATTTAGGCCAAAATATACTGTTCGTGGCCGGATATGAGTTTTTTTTTGCACCACATTCGCGCCTCTCCTTTCCTTTAGATAGGGAACCCCCCTCTTATTCGTTTCTCTCATTACTAGTAAGATTACGCCTTGGCAGCGGCAGCGGCAGCAGCCGCCTTGTCCTGCTCGAGGAACCAGTTCACGCCACGATCGATGCCCTCCTTCAGAGACCAGACAGGCTGGTAGCGCAGAGCACGTTTGGCCTTGTTGATGTTGTAGTAGCGGGTCATGCAGCTCATAATGATAGACTTGCGAGTGAGTGTGGGTGTCTTTCCGAGAATGTTGGCGAGAACCTCACTGACATAGCCGATGGCGATGCCGACCTCACGGTTGAGACCCCAATTGCCCTCTGTACCCTTATCATAGCCGGCGGCACGCCAGATAGCACGGGCAAAGTCCCAGAAGTACACAGGTGTGTCGTTTGTGATGAAGAAAGCCTCACCGTCGACACGCTCGTGATCAAGGGGGATAGTGGGAGAGGCAGCGGTGGCGAGTAGGAGCTGTGCAGCGAGGAGGTGGGCATGGGCGACGTTGCCGACATAGGTGAAGTCGAAGAGGTTCTCGTTGGCGCCGACTTGGATCGTGTGCTTACCGCGCTTGTAGGCGTTGAGAATGCCCGCGAGAGTCTGGACGTCGCCTTCGCCAAAGATACCGGCGGGACGGATGGAAGTCGTGAGAAGCTTGCAGCCCTCCTGGCGGTTGGCCTTGAGAACGATCTCCTCTGCTTGTGCCTTGGGGCAATACCTTGTTAGCGAGACAGCCTGGGACGACCTGAATGTGGCGTGAGCAAACCTTGGTCTCTGAATAATACTCAGTCTGCGCCTCCCCACGAATCAAAGGCCACCTCTCGTCAGCGTTGAGCAGATCAGTAACGTTGTCGCTGATGACACTGGCAGAGCTTGTGTACACAAGAGCCTTGACGCCCGTCTTTTGGCAAGCATCGACAACAGCCTGTGTACCGTCGACGTTGACCTTCTTGAACACATCATGACCGATATTGGGGTTGACAGCGACAGGAGAAGCTGTGTGGATGACAACGTCGGGTTTGAGCTCCTCGAATAGAGAGAGAAGCCTCTCGGGGTCGGTGATGTCGCATTCTCGGTACTCGGCCTTTGGATTGCGATTGCGTTCGCATCGTAGGTCGACGCCGATAGTGGCAGTGGTCGTCCATTGCTCAAGGGCCTGGTTGACGATGTGATGGCCTAGAAAGCCATTGCCGCCAATGACGACAACTCTTCCAAGAGGACCTCTAGATTTTGTCTTTTCGGCCATCGTCGGTGGTTTGTATGTGTGTGTGTGTCTGCTCTGCCTGCGTATGTCGTGAGAGTGCGGTAGCAGTAGGAGTCGAGGAGGTGTGAAGGGCAAGCCAGAGTGAGAGTCTCTTGATGATATCCTGGGGTACGGCCACTGTAGGGATAGAGCTAATTTGGTAGTGAGAGCAGGGGTCCCCTTCTGTGTGGCTGACATCTTAGGCTAATGGGAATATGGTGGGGTTTGTAGCACCTCCACAACTTTAGATGCCTACTGTAGCAACCAATCAGTGGACCAGCTCCTTAAATCTTCAGCGGCTTCATCAACTAGGTAAGTTACCTCTGTACGTCTACGGCGTGAATCGATATCGTGTGTCACGAGACTTCACTTCTCCTCTCTTCACTCTCTCGCCTTTCCTAATTTCTTGGGAATACCACAACCACTCTTCTTATTTCTTGTTCTCCTTTTGCCCGCCTACAACCTCATTCCATATACCTTCACCCTTGTCTCACCTGGCTTGTGCTCTCTTTTACTTGCTATTTTGGACCCCTTTGGATATAAACAACATCCAATATCGACCTTGGGGACAACATTTTTTTCTTCTCTTCAGCACGGTTACTCCTCTTCTCTTGGGAAACAGTGTTTTTGTGCGAGAAGCAGTCGATATGCTTTACTGGCATTCAAACTATGGCAAGGAACAGCTCGGACGGGGTAGAGATTCTTGTCCACATCACAGCACCAAGTCGGTCTACCGATGATGTTTCATATCGGCAACTTGCCCAAGCTTATCTAGCCTTTGAGCCTCACAGGCGCACACAACTGCCTGTGATAGAGTCGCAAACAGCTGAGGAACAACAGCGTGTGCCAGAAAGATGTCAAGGGGCGCCATCGCCAAGTCAGACCAGGGTAACAGCTTCGTTTGGACCATCATTCGAGATCACATCACAAGATCTAAGTTTCGGCGGAGCCATAGACAATCGATCATCACCATGTCTACCGCGTGAGGCATTGGCTCCGAGTGCCATCCCCTCATCAGACCATACTGGTTCCGGGTCAATCAACTCATGGTGTGCACCTGCGAGTCAAATCAGTGACTCGTATCCCATGCCAGATGCTGCGCTCTTGGACGTTTCACCGTCACGTATACTACAGAGCTACGTCCGAAGAACTCAGTCATCGCAGGAACCATATTCGTCACCGACTGCGCTTAGGAAGCGTCCTCGGATACCAGAGTTTGGACACAGTGTCGAAATCCCCTCTTCCCTACCACCTCACAGTCAAGAAGAAACTTGGCCTCTCGAGGCCCCTGAGATCACAAGTATCGTACCTACGACGCCACAAGCAGACAAAGCAGCAGAGGTTCTCATACCCTCGGCGGATACAGAGGTGATAGCCTTCGATCATTTAGCCCCAGATATCACTCATATTTCTGGCAGCGTGGTTAGCAGCCACTCGCCAGCTCTATCGCCTCGTGCAGGGTCGGAACCCCCACTATCAAAACGGTCCAAGAGTGGGCACTTGGAGCATGGTGATCTAGTCAGAAGCTCTAGCGATACAGGGCCAGCTCTGTCAGCGAGAAACTCGCAGGGTGACCAAGTCAGCAGTAGCTTGGAAATCCGGCCACCATCGCCACCCGTGGGAGTTGACGACATTAATCCTGCAGATTTGATATCTGAGAAGCTCGCGAAACTCGCCCGCGATCTGTCGTCGAGATATCGTCCGACGATAAAACGCGATATCGAAGCCTTCGAACGAGGATACTGGCTTATCAACTGCAGTGGCTGGGACCCAGATGTCCGGTTTGACACTTGGGTTTTCCTCGCTAATTATCTCAAGAGTGGTTTGGCGGGTTGGGGAACCTGGTGCCGTAGAGACAAAACCCACGACTGGATACGCTTATATTGCTGGGGCCACGTCGCGAAACATACTTACTTGCTCTTGTACCTTGCGAGTGCAAGACAGGTCAAGACAAGTGGCGCGAAGTGGTATGGAGCAGATGGTGAAGTTGCTCTGGAAATCCCGCCTTATGAGAAGCAGGGATAAGTCGGATGTGCTCGCACCATATTTCAGTTTGGATATTAAACGCGACTTGGCGTCCTGTGATGACAGGAATATTCGCATCATAAGCGAGGCGTTTGTCGGTTCTTTCTTCTTCTTCTCCTTCTTTGGTATAGATAACGGTTGTCATCAATCATCGCAACTAGATAGAGCTGCAAAGCTTGGTCCTTCGACATTATAAGGCGACATAGATAGACAAAACGCGGGTTACACGAGCCTTTGATTATCAACTATTCCCAAGTGACTGCCAGCTCAGCTGAGTCTGGGTTATGCCATGTCTTAACCAGGGTCGTCGTACCCTACACGATCCAGTACAAACACAAACAAGAACAAAAGTACACAAAAGCCAGACCAGACAAAGCCCCCGTTACCATTCCCCTGAACCCCAGCCCTTTATGATCAATACCATACCATAAATAGATCATAAACACATTGAATTCCTATACTTGCACAACAGCGATCGCTCACGAAACAGTCCTTTGTACATAGAATTTCTCTCTAATCTAAGTGGAAGCCCTTCATATTCGGTTCCCTAGGCAAGTCCAGTTTCCTGGATGACCTTTGCGCGCGCATCAAGCTTCTCAATCTCGGCCTTGTACTTGACAGATTCGTCAGCGGCGCGCTGCTCATATAGGGCCTTCTCAGTAGGGTTCACGTCCTTCCAGGACTCGCTGATTTCTTTGAACTTGGTCTGGCTAGTCTCAGCATGGCTTTTGTTCCAGTTGTCGACAAGGTAAAGGGAATAAGAGCCTGAAGGGCGCAGGGGCAGACGCTCATCTGAGATTGGCTTGTAAGGCTTGCCAGTTAGGAAAGAGAGGCGGCGGCGGGCTTTGTTAGCTACGTAAATGCGCGCCGGTTCGTGAGTCTCAACCCAAGCTTTATAAGTCGCTAGGTTCTTCTGGCGGTTGGCAACGGCTCTGCGATGGAAGTCCTAAACTTCGTGTTAGCTCATTCAGTAAAGGGAGGGGGAAAGGGCGTGACGCACTTCATGCTCGGATTCGGTCAGTTGACGGAACTTCTCGGACAGCTCAGTCATCTGCTGGGTGATTCCACCAGTTCCTGAGAGGTTTCCTTTGTTCTCGGACGCAAAAAGTACCCAAGTGTTGGCCGGAAGCATAGCCAGCTTGTCTTTGAGCGCCCATTTCTTAAGCTCCCGGATTTCGAGCTTCTTGGCCTTCTCCGGATCAACCTCCTTCTTGACCTTCTTAGGCTTTGGCGCAGCAGCCTTGGGTTTGGGCTTCGCTTTGGTCTGGGACTTGGCCTTGCTATCAGTCGCCTTAGACTTGGATTTGGTGGTGAGGGTAGCCTTCTTCGTGGTAGTGGTCGTCGTCTTCTTGGCGGCCTTCTTATCGACGGAGGCAGGAGAGGGGGACCATGCTGAGACGGTGAAGCTTCGAATGGGAAGTGCAGTCTTTATGGCCGACTGGCGGCAGAGCAATTGAGCGGCAGAGGGAGCGGAAGCAGAAAGGCGGGCTGTCTGAACGCGACGGACGGCGGCCCGGCCCACGGAAGTGAGCATTTTGGTATTTGTTACGGTTGAGTTGAAGACAATTGATCTGAGCGAAGTGATTTACAGTGGCGGCGACGATTGACTGCAAGGCTGAGTTTGTGTACGGTGAGGAATTGATCTAGTCGAGATGAGGCTGATGGTGTTGACCAAAGGTAGACAGTGCCTACCTCATGTTTTGCGCTTTGCGGGCGGACAGTTTCTAATACCAGTGCCGGCCATGGAAGGTGGGCAGGTGGGCAGGTGCGAGAGTGGGCTCAACTTCATGCGAGAGCTCCCTTGGTAGCGGTACGTTTCGACCGCATGCGTTATAGCTAGTACGCTAAGTACTCTCTACTTCACGAGCTACAGCTCCTGCAGCTTGCCGGTCCTACCAATCACCACCCCAAGAGTTGGCTTATGTAACGCCCCTCCACATTCACCTCATCTGCTGGTCGCAGGCTGCCGTTGGACGCGACAGTGAGTGAGGTCAAGTCAAGCAAGGCTGGACTAATGAACATTACCTAGCTCTTTCAACTCCATCACTTACTCATCAACACTGAAGGCGACCACATCTGTGCTCTGCAAATACCGACGGTCTTATTTCCTCACACCAGAGTAACGAACACCTGCGACATTTCTCACTTCCCAATTCATTCGACCGCATAGACCATGGATCACCGTCCGCAAGCTTGGGGTCGTGTATGTGCTTCCATATACTACAACTTGAAGCATGACCAATTACAATAAACTGACCTCCAATAGCCTAGAGACGATGTTTACGGTGCCTACGATGCCTCTTTCATGACCGATAATGGCCCCAAGCAAAACACCCAGCAGCCCATTGTCACTGGTACCTCCGTCATCGCCGTCAAGTTCAAGGACGGAGTTGTCATGGCTGCTGATAACCTAGGTCGGTTGTATCAGCGCCGATACCTGAATAGAGGCTAATCCCTCCCAGCGTCATACGGCTCTCTGGCCCGATTCACCGATGTCAAGCGACTCCGCTCCTTCGCCGAGTCCTCGGTCGTTGGCTTCAGCGGCGACATTTCCGATATGCAATATCTCGACCGCCATCTCATCGACCTCTCCCTCGACGAGGCCTACACATCCCCCGACGCTCCCCGCCTCAACGCCGCAAACCTCCACCGCTACCTCGCTAAGCTGCTTTACCGCCGACGCTCCAAGTTCGACCCCTTGTGGAACCATCTCCTTGTTGCTGGTCTCGACGACGATGACAAGCCATTCCTTGCCGCTGCCGACTTACTCGGCAGTACCTACAGTGCCCCTAGTCTGGCTACGGGCTTCGGTTCCATGCTAGCCCAGCCTATCATGCGTCGTCATGTTCCCGACGAGGAGGCCGCTCAGAACTTGGAGAAGGAGGAGGCTATCAAGATCATCAAGGAATGCATGAAGGTTCTATACTATCGCGACGCTCGCAGTTTGGACTCTTACTCGATGGCTGTAGTCACAAAGGAAGGAGTGGAGCTTACCGATGGTCTGCAGCTCGAGGCTCAGAGCTGGGCCTTTGCTGAGAGAATTCGCGGATATGGTACTCAAACTGTCTAAATCCCGTGGCAAGTGTTGAAATGGGAGGACCGAGTGAAGAAAGCCAGTCACATTTTTAATCAACTAGTGAGGTTGCACAAGATGCAAGCCAAGACGGCTTGATTGCTGCTGCTTTAGAAGAGATTCAGCTGGAACAATCATGATGATAATGATACTTGGCCATATGCAGTGAACTTCCATAAGCCACCGATGAAAATCCTTCCTCTCCCTCTCATCCAATAGCCTGGGGAACAGCTCAAGACAGGGGACATAATAGAGTTTTAAGAACGCATCACGTCTCATCATTCGAGAGTATGTTTCAATATCTGTACTTTGCATTTCTGAAATTGGAACCTCGAGTTATGCGGCAAACGATGGTTCAGTTCGTTGAATGGTCAAATGCAGAGCAGCAGCATTCATGATTCCTAGATGTCAAATTTATATTCAATTTGCAAGACTTGCTATTCGTGATTACGTTGCCTAGAACTAATGTATTGTAAATAAGCCAACGTGCCTATTCAGCCTCTTCTCGAGGGTTGCCATCTAATACTGACCACGACCAGCCTGGTCCCTGGCCTCCCATTTATTCATTTATTTTTGCCAAACACTTAGTTCCATACTATCCAGGTAGACAAAACACAAAATGCTTGACCAACATGTTCATTTGCAAGCCTATCGGTGCAGTCCAAAACCCAACTCCAAATTTCATCATAAGCCTCTTGCCAGTAGCAAAGAGGAACCCAAGCAGCCGCCAAACTCATACTGTACATCGACCATCAGTCAAAACACAGTAACGAGTTTACTCGACAGTGACCGATTTGGCCAGGTTACGAGGGAAATCAACGTTGAGACCCTCAAGAACGGCAAGCCAGTAGGCAATGAGCTGGAGAGGGATAACGTTGAGGAGACCTTGGAGAACGTCGACCGTCTTGGGGATCTCGATCTTCTCGGCTTCAGAAGATTTGAACTCCTCATCAGAGGGGTTGCAGATAACGATAGGCTTACCACCGCGAGCAATAACCTGCTGATAGGCGTTGAGTGACTTCTTGAACAGATCATCACGGGTGAGGATCATGATAATGGGGAGGTTCTCGTCAACCAGAGCCAGGACACCGTGCTTCAGCTCACCGGACATGACGGCTTCACAGTGAAGGTAGGAGATTTCCTTAATCTTGAGGGCACCCTCAAGGGCAGTGGAGAACTGGCTGCCACGGCCGAGGAGGAGGAGAGACTTCTGGTTCTTGAAGTTCTCGCAAAGCTTCTTGATGGAGGAGTCAAGCTCGAGGATGGACTTGATCTGGGCAGAGACGTTGGAGAGACCCTCCATGATCTCCTCGCGGCGAGCTTTCTTGGAAGCACGGTCCTCGCTTAGGGACAGAGCAAACATGACCATGGCGATGAACTGAGAGGTGTAGGCCTTGGTAGAGGCGACACCGATCTCGGGACCGGCGTTAATGTGGACACCACAGTGAGTGAGAAGAGAGATTGAGGAGCCGACAACGTTAACAATACCGACAGTCAGGGCACCACGCTCCAAGCAGTAGCGGAGAGCCATGAGAGAGTCGGCAGTCTCACCAGACTGAGAGACGAAGACGCAGGTGTCGTCACGGAAGACAGGGGCCTGTCGGTCGAGGAAATCGGAAGCCAGCTCAACGGCGATGGGGATCTCAGCAAGCTCCTCAAAGACACCACGAACAGCCATGCAAGAGTGGTAAGAAGTACCGCAGGCAATGAAGATGATGCGGCGGCATCGGCGAATGGTAGAGATGTAAGAGCGGAGACCGCCAAGGGTGACGGTCTTGTTGGCAATGTCGAGACGACCACGCATGGTGTTGACGACCGACTCGGGCTGCTCGAAAATCTCCTTTTGCATGAAGTGGTCGAATTTGCCCTTCATGATCTCCTGGAGCTCGAGCTCAAGGGTCTGGATGGTTCGGACGTTGGAGCTGCCATCAGCCTTCTTGAGGCGGTGGATGTTGAGGGAGCCCTCGTGGATGTGGGCAATGTCGTCGTCCTCGAGGTACATGACCTTCTTGGTGTGCTCGACAATGGCCGAAGGGTCAGAGGAGAGGAAGAACTCAGTGGGCATGGGCATGCCATCATCAGTCATGAAAGCACGAGACTGAGATCGGTGGAGAAGAGACTTGTCGGCGGCACCGAGAAGGCCAGCGTCGGGAGACAGAAGGTCGTTCTTCTTGATGGCAACATTCTGGGAAGCAGCCTCGGCGGGGAGGGCAGCGTTCTCATCAGAATATTCAACATCGACAAAGTCGACCTTCATGCGACGCTCGGTCTTGACACCGATGACGAGAGGAGAACCCTTTCGGGCGGCGATGACTTCATGGGGGTAGTGGACGGACTTGATGAGAAGGCCATAAGCACCTTCGAGCTCCTGGATGACGGCCTTGGCAAGGTCGGTGAAGCCAATGGAGGGGTGCTGGTCGTGGATGTACTTGGTGAGCTTTGCAATGCACTCAGTGTCGGTCTCGGTCTCGAACTTGAAGCCCTTTGCCTGGAGAAGAGTCTTCAACTCCTTGTAGTTGGTGATGATACCATTGTGGACAACGGTGAACTCCCAGTTGACGTCAGATCTGCATTCAGGGGTTTGTAGTTAGCACACCGTGTTCAAAATCACTCTCCCGATTCAGAACTGATCTTCGCATCCTCAAAATGGAACAGCAAAGATCGAGAGTCAAGCCATCGGATTGGGAAGGGAATTTCGGATTTTCTCAAACGTACCGGTGGGGGTGGCAGTTGGTGGTGGAAGGAGGACCGTGAGTCGCCCATCGGGTGTGGGCAATACCGGCATGTGAATCAAAGATCTTCTCGAGGTCGAGGTCGGACTCGTCAATGAGCTTTCGGAGCTTGGCGACCTTGCCAACCTCCTTGAAAGCGAGAACCTCCTTCTTCTTGTCGCCGTCGATGGCTAGACCAGCAGAGTCATATCCACGGTACTCGAGACGGGACAGACCTGTTTTGCAAAAGGTTGTGTCAGCAACACGAATCTAGGCGCTGATCCCACGTCTCACCAGTGCATGGCGGGGCGGGGCATGGCTCATGAAAGGGGTGGTGAGGGGCAGCTGAGGAGGGGGAAACCATGGGCACAATCCATGATTTATGCTTGTGCTTGTGCTCGTGCTTGTGCTTGTCAACATGAGCATGGGGATAAGCAATTACTGACCGTTGACAAGAGTGTCGAGGATGAACTTGCGGTCCTTCTCCACCAGGTAGTTGATGTATCCGAAAATACCACTGATCGTAATGGTTAGCTATTGTTATTTTATTCCACCAATTGAGCCGCCTGGCTCCTTCTTTCTTTGGGGGGGCCAGCGTTTCTCTCCCGTCCATCGCCTTGAACCATAAACATCCATCCCATCTTAGCCTGCGTCGGTCGCAAGCAAAGAATCGGTGGAAGCTCGGTGGCTGGCGGGGCAGGCGAAAAGGCTGGGCGGTAACAAAGGCGGTGACGGCGACGAGGAAGAGGAAGAGGAAGCTTCCTTACCACATGTTGACTGAGCTCTTTGCGATGGAAAAACGTGGACAATGGGTTCGTTAAGAGACGGTCGGTGAGAGTAGAGCAGAGCCGATAGCGAGCGGATATGTGTGGGGGAGAATGAGAGAGAGGAAACAGGCGGAAGAGTTTTGAGGACGGGGTATCAAGAAGCAATAAGGTGTAGATGAGGGAGGAGAAAGAGGAGAGAAGAGCAGAACAAGAAAGGTGAGGAGGGAGGAGGAGATGGTTGTATATGTAGTCGTTTGAGCTCCAGCAAGTCAGTCAGTCAACTTAAGGTAACTCGCCTTACAACATTGGGTGAAGGCGAAAGGACAAAGGCGGGCAGAGCGGTCTCCGTAGAAGATGGTCCCAGCTTCTCATGGTGTGGAGTCTCTGGCCCGCACCCTCAGTGAGGTGAGCATGGAGGCTAGGTAAGGTACCTAAGCTCTCTCTAGGTAATGCTTAGGTAGTCTAGGTGGTAGGTAGGTATACTCCGGTATTGTTATCACTCAAAAGTGACATGCAACTCAGCAAGGTCGGGGCTCTCTCACACTCGCTTTTGCTCTACATGCATGCAGGCAGCTTGCGGTCTTGGTGGGCAGAGTGGGCAGAGTGGGGTTGAGGATGACAGTAGCGGGGGTATTTTCGACAGGGCCCAGACAGGGGGTGAGAGATTCCCATGTTTTTAGTTTGGTCTGGTCCGGCTTGTAGGTATTATTTTTATCTGCTCGCTGGTCTATTTACAGAGGTTGAGGAACGAACGAACTGGCGGGAAGTGGGCAAGACAAGGGAGCGGCAATATGTAGAGTAATATCATGAGAATGCCTACAGAACACACCTCATACATAGGTATCGATAACAACCGCCTCCTCCATAGCAACTGACCCTGAACTGTGAGGGGCGGTTCGCAGTTTGAGATGGTTCAGGGATACACCACCATCAGGCGTTTTGAGTTGGCCAAGGTAAGTACCTACTTTACCTTGGCCCAAGGTACAGTTGGGGACTGGCCATCATCATACAGCTGAACCAACAGATGACCAATTGAGCCCTGTTACACAGCATCTGTTATCGTGGACGTGGCAGTAGCTCGCGGCTGTTGAGACGTTAGCTGGAACAGAATGGAAGCCATTGTCAGCCGTGGCTAATGGTTGCATAAGGGTCCAAGACCAAAAACCACACCAGGGCTTCATAGTCTGGTCCGCTTCTGGTTTGCTCTCCAATGCCTTACGCTCATACTCGTAATAATCTATAACAACTACCTAAGGTAGGTACCCTACATATCTAAGAATATCGATCACTATTTGCCTCTCTGAATCTAGTCCGCGCTTTAATAATTCCATGGCCTGGAAGGCGGCGGTGCCTGAACACCCTGGTGCAACTCCAGGTCTGTCACAGTTCAAGTTAGATCGTGAAGCTTAGGTCCCGGTTACCTCTCTACCTTCGTCATGGCAACGCATCTCGCCGAGCCGCATGTACAGGTGGATGTACCTAAGATGTATGGAACTAACAATGATCTCACAATTCCATTATGGTGACCTCTCACAGGCAAGTTCCTGATCTATAAAGCTAATCTGACTATGAACTTTGTATTTTGCACCTGGTGCGGGAAGTTACTAGTAGAATTCTCTTCTTTCACCGCACTCTTTTCACGTCGAACCACGATCTTTTCTGATGTTACCATCTGTATACATTGAGTTGGTTGTTTGTCACTTATCATATCTGCAGTACCCACCACAAACATCGTCATCCACCACTCCTCCGCCTCCACCCTCACCTACTAGACCTACAGCACACCTAAAACCAGCCTCACGGGGTTCCCGACTAGCCCGAGCCTTGTCAACACCAACAGAAGAGCGGAAACTTGCAGCTCGTTGCAACTCGTTCTACATTCTGCCACTTAGAGGCCAGAAAGAGAAACGGAAGCGTTATCATGAAGCGAGAGATCTGCGCCTCCATACGAGAAATGTCTCCCCCACTCGCGCCTTTGTTCGTTCGTATTGACTCCCGGCCTACCTACTAGGTAGCTACCTAGCCAAGGTCTCAGGGAGTCACTCACTCAGTGTTAATAAGCCGCGGAAACTACCAGTCGGCATTGGTAGATCCCCTGCATCTCTTCCTGTGGAGGTGTGCATACACATGCAGATATGCAATGCGTGCCCCTGAATTCGCCCGTTGTTTTCTTCTTCCTCAATCAATCCTGAAGCTTGTGCTGCTTCCCACAGTGACAACTCTGAAACATATGGCGTCTATGCAGTTCAAGATCAACGGATAGATAATATCACTACAACAACAAGTACATAGCTGATACTGACTTTCTATGGGGGATTCTGTAATCATGGGTACCTGAGCAGTGATGCATTGATGACCTTTAGCACCAGAGAATTCGTCCCTAGGTCGTGGGTCTCTCATCCAATACCTTGTGTTTGCTTGTGCCTGTGTCGATTCGAAGTTGAATCAGTGAGCTGAAGCGAACTGATTAAGATTTCACAGCCTCAATCGCCCCAACCAGAAAAAAAATCAACCTCACTAAGAATAGCAACCCGTTCTAACTAGCGCCAATTCCGTTCCGCTCGGCGTTGTTTCCCATCTCAAGTGCAAGCGCGCTTCTTGGCTTGTTTTTCTTCTTCTCGATGTATTCTAGCCCATGCTTTTCTCCGTAGCATTCATTCCTATCAATCTTGTTTTCGGTTCTTGTTTCTCTTGGTTCGCTTTCCGCCGTCGGTTGAGTTGCCGATCAACTAGTTCCAGACCTTAACCAATATGCGATGCTATTGTTAGCATCCATCTCGCTATAGTTATACCTACGTCATCGTCTCTCAAAACTGAGACCTCCATGTTAGCCTTGCCGTTATCCTCAGGCTTGGGTTCCTGTAGAGATTACGGATACATACGCTCGCTCTCCTTCAAGAGTGAGCTGTAGAAACAGACCATCCAGCTCTCTGACATCAGCCACGTTGGCCTAACAGCGTCCCCGCTAAGCAGGGCAAGTTCCCACTGTCATCATTAAAGGATGGCCCTTAACGTGAACCCTGGTCAGAGTCCTGTTGCTGTGGCTGTTGGTTTATGTGAGAAGGAATCTTTTTACACCAATTATCTATCTGTCCTTTCTTCAGCACTAACAACCCACGGGAAAAGAGTATTGAAAATTAAAGATCTTAAGTACAATCTAGAGGACACTGTCAGAAAAAAAAGTCGGCTTTTGTAAAACCAAGAACGCCAAGCTGAAAATGCCCCTCAGCCCTAAGCTTAAATATGCCATAAGCTCCCTTATCCTCCTCGGTTCAGCCGTTCATCTTGACTACTAATGGTATAACAGACTTCATCTTGCATAATTTCATAATCTTACTCCCTCCCGAGCTTACTTTAGCCAACCGACAGTCTCACTCTGAAGAATCAGCCTTGCGAATCAAGGTGGTGGTTTCATGGTATCTCTAGCCTCTCACCAATTGTATCAACGCCTTGCGACACAACTCATGGCAAAGGATCTGGCTGCTTACGTTGCAGGCATTGGCATATGAATCTCACGCTGGTCAAACATGTATTTGTGATAGTCGCAAGAGAACTTTCCTGCTTTTCCAGGACGCCATGTACATTCCTGTTTGTAGGGCTGAGCTAATCTATCGCGGTTTACCCTGACTCTATTGTACAGTCTTACACGGATTACCTAGCAACGCTGGGTCCATCAGCTTCCATCATCCTTAGGTTTCCATGCACCTTTCCGCTGTTATATCCATCCATCTTGTTCTGGAATGACACACCCTCCCGTCGCTTACAGCTTCTGGTACTCAAGCTTGCCCTCCAACTTCTTGGATTCCGCGACCTTGCGAACCGCCTTGTTGAAATCGTCCTGATTGATTGAGTCTCGGTAATCCTTGATAGCAAATAGACCGCTGTATGCATGTCAGATTCATTAAGCTCAACTTCTTTTCCTTTACTGTGCGGGGATGAAAACTTACGCTTCAGTAACCACGTTTCGCAAATCAGCACCGTTGAGCCCGTCACTCATCTTCACCACGCTTTCGAAATCAAGGTCTCCATCGATTACCACGCTTTGTGAGTGAATCTTAAGAATCTCGAGGCGTCCGACCTCGTTGGGCAGAGGAATCTCAATCTTTCGGTCCAGTCGACCAGCACGAAGAAGCGCAGGGTCCAATGTGTCAGGTCGGTTGGTTGCCATGATGATCTTGGTCTTGCCCAGATAGTCGAAACCATCCAGCTGGTTGAGCAACTCCATGAGTGTTCGTTGAATCTCACGATCAGCACTGGTGCCCTCAGAGAAACGTCGGCCACCAATGGCATCGATCTCGTCCATGAAAATGATGCAAGGCTCATGCTCCTTGGCATAGCCAAACATCTCGCGGATCAGTCTTGCAGATTCTCCAATGTATTTATCGACAATAGCGGAAGAAACAACTAGTTTATTGTCAGTGATACCGTTCGTGGAATAATATCAGCGCGTGACCCATACCCTTCAAGAAGTTGGTCTCTAGACTGCTGGCAACTGCTCGTGCCAATAGAGTTTTTCCAGTTCCAGGAGGGCCATACAACAGGACACCCTTGGGAGGTTTGATGCCTACTCGGAGGAACAGTTCGGGGTTCTTGAGGGGGAGCTCAATGACTTCTCTAAGCTCTCGAATCTGATCGTTCAATCCACCGATACCAGCAAAGCTGACTTGCCCTGGGTCCTCCAGAGACATGTTGTACACCAAGGGGTCGACTTCGCGGGGGAGCATTCGCATGATGGTGAGTGTCGTCATGTCGAGAGCAACACGGGTACCTTGCTTGAGCTTGAGCTTGTCGACCTTTGATCTGCATCCGACAACATATCGTGGCCCCGAAGAGGCCTTGACGATAACTGCGAGTATAACCGTTAGTATCCGACCATCTTGTACGAGTCCATATGTTGTTCGCCCTCACATCGTTCGTCATCAAGCTGTTTCAGTACCTCCCCGATGATCTGTCCCACACTCTGTAGCGCCTTGATGTTGTCCTCGGTCTTGTCAAACTCTCGCTGCATGTCCTTGATCTCTAAGCGCAGATTCTTGAGCTTTGCCTCCCATTCTCGCGACTCCATGAGTTTCGTGCGGTAGGAGTTCAGGGCAGCCTGGCGCTCGTCTTCGGCAGACATAGTGAATCACTTTATTCCGATTCTATTTTCGTGAGTTTGTATACTGTTGATGTTTCTGCTTTTCTTGGCAATTCGTTGGTCTTGGGCGTTGTCTGTTGGGTATCGAAAGCTCGGTTTATGTTGACGGAGAGGTGTTTGGATTGGATGGTGATGGTGGTTGCTCATGGGAGATAGAGAGCTTACCTCACCAGCTGGAGCCTTCCACTAGCGGGCTCGAGCTGCACCGGCAGAATCTCGGCATTTGCAACGCGCGCAAAGCTCCCGTCCAGGTATCTCATTAGAGGACCTTAGCTAAGGAACCACCTAGTTGAGGAAAACAATGTAATTCATGGCTTTATCTCTGAATATCTACGGTATGACAATCCGCAGAATTTGATAGGTCTTGGTTTATTTTCTATTTGACCTGCATCTGTTCTTTCGAGTATAATGTATACCCATTAAAATACCATTGAGTTCACTGGTAAGCCTGAACTGTCCACTATATGTGCCTACTCCTACCCATGTGTTTTGATTATTTTGTCAGAGCTCTTGCCTACCCTGCGTTACTCAGTCCATTCTTGGAACAGTGATACGTGATGATGCTGTATTTGGATTTTCCATATTACAGTTGGTTATCGAAGTGAATGCACGGCTTATTGATTCTTTGCTATGAGACGTGCTTAGGTCAGTGTACATCATGCAACAAAACTTTGTCATTTCGATACGGCAAACTAGTATGTGGCTATCATCAGTATTCTTCGACTAAGCAGCAACATACAAGAGATAAACCAAAGGAGATGTGTTACGGAGACATATAAAGACACAGTACAGTTAACTCGGATAGGTACACATTCCTATATATCAGGCCACTTGCCATCGGCACGGCATTTGTGGATACAAAGACTTTCAGCATTTCCTCTAGTGGCCGATTCTCCAAGCTCAAGGAAATTGCATATCGAGGAATTTCGCAGCTCTCATTAGATGTCTAATTTACTCAGAAACACGATGTTTGGTACATTTCGACCTAGCCTTAAGCTTTGCGCGTATAGCGCATCGTGCCCATTGCTCGCTTGTCCTAAATATGGATAAGGTGTCGGGAAGAGCAGAAGGAGTGCCGATTTCAGAGTGAAGGGCCAGGATACATTCAAGTGATGGCAAGGACCAAGAAATTGGCTAAAATAACCCTCAAATAGCTGGAGACGGCCTGCTGATGATGCTGAGTCGGGTATAGGTCGCAAAAATATGTATCTTCGTCATCCGACTTGGCATCAGAGGTTCAATGAGAAGTGGTTTGTTTACCCAGAAACACAGCCCTGGATATAACAGCGGCTGTTCGAAGCACCTTGAATTTTCGTGATAATTCATGAGTCGAAGTCGCATAAACTGTCTCAGTCCTTCTTTTCACTCTCGTCGTCAGTGGCAGCCTTCTTGGGCTCACCCTCAGCGTCGAAACCCAGCGCATCCAACTCTCTAATGAGTTCGTTGATCTTGATGACCTTTGCGATTTGCTCGGGAAGTAGAGCCTCACCACCTTCCTTCTTGTTCTTGAGGTCCTTAGCCTGCTTCAACTTCTTCTTAAGATTTCGGGCCTTTTTCTCGCGCTCAACTTCGGGATCGACTTCCTCGGGCTTTGTCTCTTCCGCAAGGGCTGGAGTATCACCCTCTGCAGCCTTTGCCTTTTTCCGAGCCTCACGACGCTTGGCGTTCTTGTTGCTTGCAGCCGAGTTTTGTTCGGAGCTCTCTTCCTTCAAGCCCGTGGCACCTGGGATGCCAATCTTCTTACCGCGCTCGCGAAAGGCCTCGGCAGTGCGGTTCTTGTAGACTTCGACATCCTCGGGAGGCCGGTATCCCGGACGAATTTTGATAGCTTTACGGGTACTGCCATCTGCGCGGACAGACTGCGGGATCTCTCGGTCACCACTGTTCTCGTCGGTGACAATACCCGCGTTCGAAGGCTGCGAAGGCATCGCGAAAAAGAGATGGAGCAAAGGGAGAGTCAATTCAATTCGCGAGAGCGCCTGAGTCCGACGCTGGACGTGGTCGGACAGGGTTTGGAATCTGCTCGGCAGGTACCGAAGCAGGTTGAAAGCTGGAAATCGGTTTGGAGGGGTCAAGTTAGAGGAGGGGCTGCGAGTGGCTGAAAGCAAGCAGCGCCACATGCATGTGGCTACATTGGGGGGGGGGGGTAAAAGACTAACCTACATGATATCCTACCTATACATAGATGCAGCCTTGATTGAGCACCATTGCATGACTTGTCCATTCCATGTAATTGTGTTTAATCACGCTCGCTCGATGGTGTACATACAAAACCATGATCACATTTGCCCAAGCACGCCTGTATCCTCTTGGGGAGATTTCCGCCACGGCCGTGGGAGCCAAGCTGTGAAGTACCTCTCCCTAGTACACACTGGACACAAAGGACAAGGGAGTATCCCTGCTACCTTAATTGAGCTTATTTGAGCTGGAGCCCTCTCATTGGTAGATGTTTCGAGCTTGATGCCCTGCAGGGTGCCTTGTTTCAACCTTTCCTCATGTAAAACGGTAAAAGGATGTATGCCCACGTTGCAGATATGCCCTGGTGTAAACGACATAAATCTTCTGACCCGTCGTATCTGAAGAGTGCCTAAGTGACGAAGTCTCACTTCCTCACTTTCTTATTCCTCAGCTTCGTTCTCGAACGTGTTTCACTACATCATGAAAAGCCTTGCTGAACTATGAGGGTATGGCGATAGTTCTGGATGATCTGGGTGTTTATTATGTAAGACCGCAAGGAGAATGGAAGGTTTTCCACGTCCTACGTAGCCCATCCGGAGTGGAAAAAAGCCACATGGTACATGGCTGGCCCCTCTGTGAAAGGAAACGGTGTGCTGCCACAGCTCAAGCTTAACGCACTGTTATTTATTGAGCGTTGACCAAGGCTTCTTGCATAACGAGAATGGCTTTCACATATTTGGCCCAGTTAAATTTCTGCAGTCAGTCACTGTCTGCCTCATGCATAGGTCGTGGCAGGTCGAGAACCTACGGAATCACGCCTAATGGCAGCCTCTCTCGCACGACTTTGCTTGTGACAGCACGGATACAGGGCAAGGCTCGTCTCGGCTACAAGTGTAATCAATGCTATTTGGTGAGCGCGTTGGCCACATTAAAAATTGGGTTATTTGAACCTTATTGTGTGTTTGTTAGGCATTTTTCATACTACTCATGTTTGGAGTTCAATGTTTGAGACCTTCTGCCAGGTGTCCCCATCTTTGTTTGCGTATCTCTACCGAATACTTGACTTATGATCAACTAGCTTTATCTTTCTTTGTGTGTCGTTAATTGGATGGATGTGAATGTTGTTGACACAAAGCGGTCTCATTCACCTACCACGTGTCTGCTTGTTGAAGTGGACTCATGATATTACTTACACTACACACTTCAACACCAAGGAAGGACCTACTTAAAACTTAACATATTGTTCCTACCCAGTAAGGTACCTATATCAGCAGTGTGCCATTGCGTACGGAAATACTTTACTCTTGGGCCAGCGCACCAAGAATACCTAGGTAGGCAAGGCAAGCAACCATCATCTAATAGATACCTTGCCACAACAAGGATGAATCAAGGGTTATTTTGCTTCAGCAAGTACTAATTATGTATCTAACCGCTGCTGCATCCCTACCGACCTACCTACTTTATATGAACTTAGCAATGTCCCATCCGTCTCATTACCTCCATGGGTAGGTACAATCTGCCTTACACAATGTTCCAATCACTGGCAAGTGCTACTGTCTGTGTCTGTGTCTGTGTCTAAGTCGCCCAGTAACTTGCTTTTCCTGCCCTTCCCCTCTTCAGAGACTTTAGAAACAAACTTCACTCACAATGCAAAGGGAGGCCTCTTGATCGTGGCATTCTTGTTCTGCTTTTATACTGCCCTATTTAAAAGCTGTCAAGGCTTTCTCAGGAGTTATTCGATTATCAATCTCGACCCTGAAGCTCCAGCACTCACCACCATCGCCAAGATGGCACCTCCTCATACATCGCAGGAAGCCAAATCCCCTGAAAACGACCATGCTGCCACCAAAACCTGTCTACTAGACACTTCAGATGCATTGACTCCCGACCCAGGCACCGAGGACATGTTCAAAACTGAGAAAAGCAAATTTGCTTTCAGCCCAGGCCAGCTTTCTAAGTTGCTCAATCCCAAAAGCCTCAACGCCTTTTATGCTCTTGGGGGAATTGATGGTATAGAGAAGGGACTGCATACAGATCGCAATGCTGGCCTCAGTACCGACGAGTCCACCGTGAATGGAGAGGTCGCATTCCACGAAGTTGCGCCAAAAGGAACGCCAAAACACGGGACGGCTGGTGATGCAATACCGGAGAGTAATGCTGAAGCAGCAGTTCATATTCCTCCTCCTGAGGATCCCAACCCTACAGGGATTTTCTGCGACCGAAAAAAGATCTTCAGAGACAATCGCCTTCCTGATAAGAAGACAAAATCCCTCTTGGAGATCGCCTGGACAACCTATAACGACAAAGTTCTCATTCTCTTGACCATTGCGGCGATGATATCACTAGCTCTAGGCCTTTACCAAACATTCGGAGGTGAGCATAAAAAGGGGGAACCCAAAGTTGAATGGGTTGAAGGTGTCGCAATTATCGTTGCTATCGTGTAAGTAAATGCTCCAGTCACGCCGAGACTTGAAACACTGACAGGAGTGGACAGTATTGTTGTGCTGGTCGGTACAATCAACGATTGGCATATGCAGCAACAGTTCACCCGGCTCACTAAGAAAACCAATGATCGTATGGTCAGTGTTATTCGTTCAGGGAAGTCCCAAGAGATATCCATCAACGACGTCATGGTCGGGGATGTCATGCATCTTGCCACGGGAGACATCGTACCAGTAGATGGCATCTTTATTCAAGGCAGCGCCGTCAAGTGTGACGAGTCCTCAGCTACTGGAGAGTCAGATCTGCTCCGAAAGACACCAGCAGCAGATGTGTACGATGCAATCCAGAAACTCGATACCAAG